ATTGAATTATATATGCCATTGGATAGGGGTGCAACTTGAACCCCAAGGACCTGGAACGTAACTTTCTGACAAGGACCCATTGAGGGTTAATGTGTGTGTATACATACTTACATACATATATGTATGTATGTATGCATGTGTGGGAGCCATTCGTTATTTTGTGTTGCGGTGGTGGTAGTTGACACTAGGTGGCAATGTGGGCTAAGGATGGTACAGGTCACGGCGGCATGGGGGCAACAGGAGATCCATACAAATGGTAGTGGGGGGAGGAGGCGAGATGGCGGGGAGATCATACGGTTTTTACCGCTAGCATGCCACAGATATATTAGCCCTCATGTTGTTATATGTTTGTAACTTTTCATAATATCGCTATGAAATGGGAACATCACCCAAAAGTTAATTAGTTGTGGACCTCAAGTTGCTTTGTATAGTGGACAGGCATAGCGAGTTATTAACAGTGTGTGTGTGTATACTATAAATATATATAATAATAAACTGTATCATTAAAAAATCTTTTAAGTTCATTATCAGAATTATGTATTGATGATACAGTGGTACCTCAGTTCTGTAACTCATTAGAACCCGAATTTCTTAAAGGTCGAACCAACCAGTTCGAAAAAAAAATGACCTAGAACTCGATCTGAATATCAGAAGTTGAACCGTGAATGCCGACCCTAGATAACTTGTACGTGCGGGGAAATGAGTCACGCGGCACGTCTCTCAGCGGTAACAAAGGGTAACGCTTCAGTCTCAGCCTCGCATTCACTGTGATAGCACCGTGCATGTATACATTAGCTGAATACATATATTTAGACAGTAAAAATACATTTAGACAATGTCACTGTGGGACAATATCATGTCTCACCAGGTGAGAATCACAGCTATCTGATGCCTGGTTAATTCTCACTTCATTGTCAACTCTTCCCTCTTAGTTGCACCATACCTTTTGTTTTCGAAGTACCAGCATATGCTTGGTGTAGAGATCTGCCCACTTCGCCTCCTTGGTAATAAAGGATATTCCCAGCAGCTATGTGAACAATCCACTCTGTTCCGAGTCATCTGAAGATGATCCAGAGGAACCGTCGAAAGAATGGGAGCCCCTCCACTGAAGTAGGGGTCAGCTTATGTCAGTGTGGCTCTGGTAGCAGATGATCTGGGAAGATGAGGACACACCGGACTCGTCAGCCCACGCCTGCGAAAGTGAAGCTTCCCAACCTGGCGCTTGCTGGTCATGCGAAGCTGCCCAGCCTGCTGCTTTCTCATGATGTAAAGCCACCCAGTTTGCTGTTCCTTCACCATGATACAGAGCCACTCCTTGCTCTGTTTGCCACTCCCTTGTGAAGCGAAACCACTCCACCTGTCTTTTCCTTGCCGCACCAAGCTGCTCCTGCCCTGGGTGTCCAGGCAGAGACGTACTTTGCACTCCTAGGATGACAGTGGAGGGTGTTTGTGGACCCCCAAATGCAGGCGTTACCCAAGGCCATCACATTGCTGAAATGGATGGACCAGGGGTTGGCAACCATATCCCCAGCCTCCCTTCCTCAGGAGTTGGAGAAAATTGTGGAGGATCTAAGAAAGGTGCTTAAAGACCAAGGAAAGAGCAGACCCAGTCTCCAGTGGAGGGGACTTCCTCGGATCCGGGGATATCTTGTGTGGATCATGGTGAGATCATTGCTTCTCCCTGCATGTCCTGGCCTAGCATAGGTGAGGCTCCCATCGTGGGAGGTCCTCCTAGGCTCCATCTCAGTTCCCGCTGCCTCCCCTCCCGATTCTCCACCCAGCGGTGTTCACCTCCCCAGGATTCCCCGCCGCTTCGCAGCAGATGCCTGAAGCTCGTCTGCTCGCCGCAGCCACCCGACGCTCATCTGCCCACAGCCTCCGCCGCTTCGTCGATGCCAGAGTGTGTACCTGAAGCCCGTACCTTTCGGGGTACGTGCTTGGCACTGATAGGTGCCAGGGGTCTTGGGGATGCTATCCCGCAGATCCTCAAATCCCTGAAAACAGCGGTTCCTGTTCCACCCTCCGTGGTTCCTGTCCCGACGGCTCCTTCTCTTGCTTCCCTGGTCCGTGCTCCCCGTGAAGTGTAACAATGAGAGTCATGAGGTCTGTTATCCCATGTCTACTTCTGCATCTTCTAAAAATAGGACCTCAAGACAAACCAGAAAAAAAAACTTGTTGATATGTATGATTAAACCCCTACTGCAGGCCAGTGGCCGCACACACAGGGCAGGATCTTCAAGGGAAGAAGCCCCTTGTAGGGGCCCACAGCATGTGATCCAACACACAGATGTGCTGTAATGTCCTGTGGAGACTGGTGTGGAGACAAGGCATATCAATGGGGCCGCAACAAGTCTAAGGTCAAGCACAGTTTAGCAGGTGGTGGTTGCAGCCAGAAATTCATGCTGTGAATGACGCAGTGGCCTCCAGCTCTAACAGTTCATTGGGCACATAATCACTTTACCCGAAAAACCACTCTCTTGCTGAAGGTGGGACTGATTTAATAAACATACATAATTTGGGTATGTTGTAAACACCAGCCTAAAGAAAAAAAATCTCTCCAATATTCACTACTCCACCAAAATTAAGCTAAACTCCAAACTTCCTGTGTCACAAGTTCATTTTCAAGCCACATATTAATTATGCATCACTGTGAGAATTGTCAGATAATTACGGTCATGTGCTACATAATACACCTGTTTAGTCTTCATATGGCATCAGCGGTGTGATGGATTGTGCTTTTCTTTCTCCCCAACAACAAGAAATGTACAAAACCAGGATATTCAATTTTTTTTATCCTAAACATATTTTTTAACTAGATCAGAATTTTTTAAAGCATTTTTTTTTAGTTTTAAAAAAGCAATGATACATCATAATAATACATTGAGTGATAGTTTTTAATTAGTCACAATACAATAATAACATGCCAAATTAAGTGTTACAATGTGCCAAAATATGTAAGCAATATGTTTGTTTCTGGTTTCTGGTCAGTCAAGATTAGTCTCAGAGCACTTGTACCAAAGTTGTCTCTCTGCCAGCTCCATCCTTGACATATATTACCTGTAACGATTTTACATTTCTTTAAACAAAAGCATCTGGCAAATGAATAAAAGTGAATTTATGTAAATGATTAGCTTACCATTCAGTAGTAATTAGCAATGCTCAAAGCGGAAATAACTGGAAAATATAATGTGATGGAAATAATAGCACAAAAAACATCTTATTTTTGTTAATCATCTAATTTTGAGCAACACATTCTCTAAGTAATCTAATAATATCATGATTATTGCTATATACTTATCTCTAACAATATGCAGTATATGACTTAGCTTATCACTAAACTCTATGTTCTGCTGATGTTCACCCTGTGCTGAAATGTTAGTTGATCCCCAGAGTGCAGTGGCAATGGTACACTGCTTATGATTGGCTGGAGATTTTGCCTGTGGCCCAGTGCATAACTGTGCTGCTTAGAGGATCTGTCATGTTGGTTCCTCTGGGTCACTCCTGGGGAGAGACTCGTTGAATCCAATATCATTATTGATGAGGAGGGTATGAAATGCTGGGGTTGGTTTGTTTCCTTACCCAGACTGCTGCTAGAAGGGTGATTCTGGCCTCCATTCAATGGGCTCTTCCTCAGAGTGGGGAAGGAGTTGCCATTGTGCCTTGCAGGTCTGCCATTCACCAGTTTCTCTGTTGCTGAGCGACCCTTTACCTTCTGTGAATGTGGCAGTGAGGTATTTAAGCTCAGCACCTCAAACCCAGGCCAGACTGCCTGCCTGCGTGGGTAGCAGGCGTCCAGCTTGGGCAACTTTAAACGCTCAGGTGAACACTTAGCCATAAGTTGGTTTTTAAGGTGACCCAGGTCTTCTTTTTGATTGCTCAATTCTGCAACAAGCTGCACTGACTGTGGAGCATTGGGAATTGGATGTGCCACTTTGAGGTGCTGTGGTTTCTTCCTCCTTTGCTCTCTTTTCAGTGGTGATGCTGCTTTTGGTGTTTCTGGCTGTAGTGCTACAGGCTTGCTAGCTCTGGTTGTGCTATTCTGTGATTTTGTTGATTTTTTATGGTTTTGGTGCTCCTTATCAAGAATTTCATAAGGCAAGCTTTCCTGAAACTCCTTCTGGGGCAGTGCATCCACAGTTACCTATGAAGAAGAGACACAGACTGGTGAAGTCCAATGATGACAGTAATAATCAGCAGAATGAGACTGCATAAGATTTAATCCACTCAGCTGTTCATCCAGTGGTGGATTAGTTCATGTCAATCAAAATGACAAAAATCAACCTGAATATACCATACAAACATTTTTTCCATAATGACAGTGATCTACATAATTTATTAAAATAAACACATAGACAGAGTTATAACCACCTTATTCCTAACTCCCAAAATATCTTACATGAATTATGGGTGTGACTTCCACTTTGTTGAACCACTAAACCAGAACCTACCTTTTTCAGCGATAGGGATAACAAAATAACAAATCAATATACAGGAACAAAGCCTGGCAACCCTAAAATGCAACAATGGATGGGAGGGTGACATGAAAAGTGGCCTTGGATAACAAACAGTAATATATTTGGTAGTGATGTAATGGACTGTAGTTGATCCGTGATCCACACAGATACCCCCCCCCCCCAGGGTATGACATGCATATGAACTTTTTTTTAGGTAATAATTTGATAAATCTTGATGTTATGAAAGTCGATAGCAGGCTTGCATTCAGGGCTTGGTATTCCTCCCTTATGTGTAGCACATGGGGAGGAATTTTATATTTTCGGTGGGATAGATGCAATAAAAAAAATTCTGCGGAGTCAATTAGCTATGGTATTTTATGTAGAATCTGGTTCCTTCTTTCTCTTGACAAATGCTGTTTCCATGTCTAATTACAATTTTTGTGTTCTTGAGAAACAACTTTTGATATTTTCTGATCTCAAGAAAATAATTTATCTGGAGAAAACAAATTTGGCTATGTTGCGATCACGACATAAGAAAAAAAAAGAATGATGTCCTCTAAGGACTTCCATAAATTGCAGAGTTAAAAGTTAAGCATGTTAAAAGTCCCTTGGTTTAAATGTTCTTTAAGTTAATTAGTAAATTTAAAGCAAAGGTATACCCTTTTATTGCTGATCCAAAAAAAGATACAATCCACGACTCCTAAAAACAGCGATATGACTGGAACCATGAGCTTTGTGACCTGTTGCACACCTAATATGTAGCTACTTCATCTAATCCATTGTGACTGATGGTGAGATGATGAAGTAGCTTTGAGGCGTATCAATATCTATACAGCAACAAAGTTGGACGTGTTTATTAAAGAGGGTGGGAAACAACCTTGTTATTCAGGCAATTTTGTCTTGATCAAAACATTGATGTTAAAGTAACACATCTAACTTGGTTATTATTATAACCATGAAATATACCTAAACTCCGCAATGCCATTTCAAACAATGCCACAGAAAGAAATATATTCCCCCGAAAAAGTAATATATGCAACTTTATATGTTAGACACCTTCAAACAGACTGTTGTGAATGACTAGCCACTTGAAAGCATAATAAGTTATTGCTCCTTTTGGCTACTTACTGTGCTTCAGCAGAAGTAACAACCATAATAATTGCCACAGTAGCGCCCCCAGGTGTAAGGTGGATATGATACACTATATTGCCAAAAGTATTGGGACACTTGTCTTTACACAAACATGAACTTTAATGACATCCCATTCTCAATATATAGGCTTTAATGTGCAGTTGGCCCAACCTTTGCAGCTATAACAGCTTCAACTCTTCTGGGAAGGCTGTCCACAAGGTTTAGGAGCATTTATGGGAATTTTTGACCATTCTTACAGGAAAGCATTTGTGAGGTCAGGCACTGATATTGGATGAGAAGGCCTGGCTCACAGTCTCTGCTCTAATTTATCCCAAAGGTCTTCTGTCGGGTTGAGGTCAGGGCTCTGTGCTGACCAGTCAAGTTCCTCCACACCAGACTCGCTCATCCATGTTCTTATGGACCTTGCTTTGTGCGCTGGTGTGCAGTGATGTTGGAACAGGAAGGGGCCATCCCCAAAATGTTCCCACAAGTTGGAGCATGAAATTGTCCAAAATAGCTTTGAATGCTGCAGCATTAATAGTTCCTTTCACTGGAACTAAGGGCCCAAGCCCAACCCCTGAAAAACAACCCCACACCATAATCCCCCCTCCACCAAACTGTACACTTAGCACAATGCAGTCAGGCACTTACCGTTCTCCTGGCAACTGCCAAATCCAGATTGGTCCATCAGGTTGCCAGACACAGAAGTGTGATTTATCAGACCAGAGAATACATCTCCACTGCTCTAGAGTCCAGTGGCGGCGTGCTTTACACCACTGCATCCCATGCTTTGCATTGCACTTAGTGATGTAAGACTAATGATGCAGCTGCTTCGGCCATAGAAACCCATTCCATGAAGTTCTCTATGTACTGTTCTTCAGCTAATCTGAAGGCCACACGAAGTTTGGAGGTCTGTAGCTATTGACTCTGCAGACAGTTGGAGACTTCTGCACACTGTGCACCTCAGCATGCATTGTCCGCGCTCTGTGATTTTACATGGCCTACCACTCTGCAGCAGAGTTGCTGTTGTTCCCAATTGCTTCCAGTCCACTTCCACAATTGACTGTGGAATATTTAGTAGTGAGGAAATTTCACGAATGTACTTATTGCACAGGTGCAATATCATCCTATCACGGTACCACGCTTGAATTCACGGAGCTCCTGAGAGTGACCCATTCTTTTGGAAATGCTTGTAGAAGCAGTCTGCATGCCTAGGTGCTTGATTTTATACACATGTGGCTGTGGAAGTGATTGGAACACCTAAATTCAATGATTTGGAGGGGTGTCCCAATACTTTTGGCAATATAGTGTATGTGATTTTTATGCTGACGATGCAAATTTCATCGATCAGTGATCAGTGACATTTTGCAATTTTAAAAGATACCAATAACTATTATTATTAACAGTCCATCCATTCATCCATTTTCTGCCACTCTTCCAGGCCTGGGCCAGCAGTCTGAGTAGTGATGCCCAGACCTCCCTCTCCCCACCCACATCCTTCAGTTCTTCAAGGGGGATTACCCAGGCACCCCCAAGCTAGCTGAGAAGTACAAGCTCTCTAGCATGTCCTGGGTCTGCCCCAGGGTCTCCTCCCAGTTGGAAATGTCTGAAATAACTCCCCAGAGGGGCATGCAGGAGGCATCCTAGAAACAGTGGGACAATAACAGAGTCTCTGGCTCTTCTGTAAATGAGTACAGGATTGTTTTTTTTTTACTCAGTTTGTTAATACCCCCTACCAGGGGAGAAGCCCTTCTTGATCTTGTTTTCTCTAATAACCAGGATAGAACTGGAAAATTTGAGGTTTTAGAACCACTGGACGGTAGTGATCATAACATGGCTAAATTCAAGATTAATTTCAGTGTCCGAAGAGCAAAGTCCAAAACAAAAGTGTACAATGTTAGGAAGGCTAACTTTAATGTTTAGACTGAAACTAGAAACTGTAAAATGGATGAAGTTAAATAGCAAAACTGTTGAAGAGGCATGGGAGTTTTTTAAAAGCACATTGTTGCAAGTGCAAGAGGACTTCATACCCGTTTGCAGCAAAACTAAATCTAGGAAACTGCAACCAAAGTGGTTTACTAAGGAAATTCAGAATAAAGTCAGGAGGAAAAGGGCTCTGTTCCACAAATGGAAAATAACTAATGATTTCAAAATAAGGCAGGAGTATATAAGATTACAGGTTGAGTTAAAAAATAACATTAGACTCGCTAAGAGGAATGTAGAAAGAAAGACTGCACTGGAGGCTAAGGATGACAAGAAAAGTTTCTTCCAATATTTTAAATCCAAAATGTCTCTAAAAGCTGAAATCACTAATTTGCAGGATAGTAAGGGCCTTATAATTGAAAATGAGATTGATATAGTAAACGAGTTTAATGATTATTTTACATGGGTGTTCACAGTAGAGAACATGGGTAACTTACCACCATTTAGTATAAATACAGCGTCGTCTATGACTAATATATGTATAACTGAGGCTGATATGGTACAAAGCCTAGCTAAACTGAAAATAAATCGCAGGGGCCTGATGGCATCATACCTATAGTTTTAAAAGAGATGAGGGATATTATTAGCTAACCTTTAACTTTACTATTTCAGAAATCGTTATCTGCTGGTGTGGTACCTTCTGATTGGAAGCATGCTAATATAACGGCCATATTCAAAAAAGAGGATAGAAGTAATGCAGCAAACTATAGGCCAATCAGTTGAACTAGCATTACTGGAAAACTAATGGAATCTATAATCCAAGTGAAAATGGTAGATTACCTGGATTCAAATAATATTTTGAGTGATAGCCAGCATGGATTTAGGAGAGGTAGATCCTGTTTAACTAATTTACTTGAGTTCTTTGAGGAAGCTACAAGAGAAATTGTTCACAAAAAGGAATTGTAGCAGCTTGGATCAAAAACTGGTTAACAGACAGGAAGCAGCGAGTAGTCATTAGAGGCGCAATGTCACAGTGGGCCTGCGTTCATAGTGGGGTACCGCAGGGTTCAATTTTAGGACCACTATTGTTCCTAGTTACATTAATGATATTGACATCAATACATACAGTAAACTGGTTAAATCTGCAGACGACACCAAGGTAGGTGGTGTAGCAGATACTGATCTAGCAGCAGAGAGGCTACAATGGGATCTTGATTTGATTAGCGACTGGCCTGATACCTGGCAGATGAAATCTTATATAGATAAATGTAAGGTAAGGGAGCAGAAATATAAAGTACAGATATTTTATGGGTTCCACTGAAATAAACGTAGCTGATTATGAGAAAGACCTCGGCGTGTATGTTGATGCTTCCATGTCCTACTCTGGCTTCGTGGGGAAGCAATAAAAAAGGCCAATAGGATGTTGGGTTACATCTCTACTGTAGGTCTGTGGAGTTTAAATCAAGGGAGGTGATGCTATGATTATATAATTCCTTGGTAAGACCCCACCTTGAATATTGTGTGCAGGTTGGACCTTAAGAAGGACATTGTTGCCTTGGAAAGGGTGCAACGTAGGGCTATGAGAATAATTCCTGGTCTTAGAGGAATGTCTTATGAGGAGAGGTTAGCTGAGCTGAATCTGTTTAGCCTCGAGCAAAGGAGATTAAGGGGGTACATGGATATATAAGATTCTAACAGGTCTGGATGCCGTTCAGAAAAATGGCTATTTCAATATTAGTTTAAATATTAGAACTCGTGGCCATAAGTGGAAATTAGCGGGACAACATTTTAAAATTAATTTGAGGAAGCACTTCTTTACATAGGGTGTAGTTACAGTATGGAATAGTCTTCCTGCTAGTGTAGCGCAAGCTAAAACCCTGGGTTTTAACACTAGAACTAGGGTGTTAAATCAGAGCTAGATAAGATTTTAACAACTCTGAGCTATTAGTTAAGTTCTCCCCAAATGAGCTTGATGGGCCAAATGACCTCCTTTTGTTTGTAAATTTCTTATTTTCACTACTACCTTTCAAACAAAGGGAAAGAGAAAGTTTACCTGTGGTCTGGAATAAACCAAAGGGACACTGAACTGTGCCCAAGAATCACCAGGACATGGCTGGGGCTCACTATCCTCTTCCCAGAGAGGACCAGCATCAGGGTCCTCACCCTCATCCTTTTTTAACGACACAGCCTCCACTAACTTCACTAGGATGTTTCGCGCAAGGGAAGCTACAAAGGGCACCAACTTGGTGAGAGAGAGAGCGCAAGGGGGAGAGAGAGAGAGATAAACAGAGAGAACATCAATAATTACCTACCTGGAGGACTGCTATAGACCTGGCAATTTAGCATCATTTAAACTGAAGTGTTTCTGTATTCTACATTTGTCATTGTCAAGTAGTTAGTTTTCTAGATGCAGTACATATTAAACATATTGGTTATTATTTCCCAGTAGTGTTACAATCATTTTTAAGGTATACTGGCCTAGCATATAATTTCTGTTCTTGGTGTTTCAAGATGGTTAGTTCTGTCAAACATGTAAAGTAACTAGCCATCAACAAAATTGTATTCATGTACTTCAACAGAACAGTAAAAAAGTGTCAAACATACCCTCTTTTTTAAAGGAAAATATTTTTAACAAGTACAGTGGTACCTCAGTTCTCAAACTCATTAAAACTCGAATTTCTTAAAAGTCGAACCAACCAGTTCAGAAAAAAATTACCTAGAACTCGTTCTGAATCTCAGAAGTCAAACCGTGATAACTTGTACGCACGGGGAAATCGAATCACGTGGCACGTCTCTCAGTGGAAACAAAGGGTAACGCTTCAGTCTCAGCTTCGCATTCGCTGTGATAGCATCGTGCATGTTTACACAAGCTGAATACATATATTTAGACAGTAAAAATACATTTACTGTAAGGCAGGCAAAACGCAGACAATGACCGGACTGTGGAAACAAACTGAAACGCGGACGAAATACAGAGGGCTAATGAAAACAACCAGAAACAGCTGATCACACGGGGATTCCACACGGGGTTAACGAGGGGGCGTGGCACACGGAAGGAGCGGACGATCGGGGCAGGACACGTTGTTTGGATATATTTATTTTCTTACTTTACAAATTACTGTTTTGATAATTGTGCTTAGATGTGTTTAGTACAGCATATGCTCTTCTTGTTTTATCCGGTTCATTTTGTGTTTAAATGTAAAAAAAAAACATATTTAGATGTATTTTTTTGGGTCTGGGAACCAATTAATTGATTTTCCATTATTTCTTATGGGGAAAATTCGATCAGAAGCCGAACTTTTTAGGATTCGATCCGGAGTTCTGAACGGATTAAGTTCGAGTTCTGGGGTATCACTGTACATCAATTTTTAAAAATGTATTAAATACATATAATTTTACTTATAATTTATGGAATACTACCAAGAGGTGTATTTTGATTTTTAAAAATTGCACTGGGTCCTTCATCAACATGAATTTGGATGCATAAGTATATTAAAACACATATTTAAAACACATTAACAAAACACCTTAACACATACACAGAATAGTCCTCACCTGCCTTTCCTGGTGCATCTTATAGCACTTTTCCGTCACATCGTTTATCAGTTTATCCAAAATTGCTACCACCACTTCCTCTCCTTGCTCCTGTGCCACCAGTTTGCACCACTGGGGCATAAAGAGGGGGCCCCGTATAACATCCAGTTGAACTGGAATACTTGGGGTGGGGACTGGAACGGGGTGACCTTTGACTTTTCGAGACTTGACCGAGCGAGGCATTGTCACTTGAAGACACCTGACAAGATAATCTCAATGTGCACAGAAGATTAAATAAATGCAAAGGAAAAAACACATTTGACAATGACTACAATGACACACTTATATGTTTTTGTGTTCCTCAGTATTATAAATGCAGCAAAACCTGAGCAAGAGCTACTTCTAACAAACATGATGCCATTACACACTACACTGCAAAGGATTTTGTACTGTTTACTCACTGATTCATCCTTTGTAACTAGCCATCAACAAAATAAACTACTAAACTATAAATAAGAAATAAGCCACTATAATAGGTCATCTTATGCGTGTCCACATATAGTATTCATACATTTACCCCATGTTATTTTGCTTTAGGGGCTCCATACCCCAGTTTAGTATTTTTTTTTATTAGAAATAAATATGAATATCTAAAATGTGCAATAATACAGAGGTATATAAAGATACTCTTGTCAATAATAATTAAATATTCCCCTTATAAGTACTTCTGAATTTATTTTAACTTAAAAACTTTAACTTACATTGACCAAAATTGCGATTTGCATTTTATTTGCTGTTATTACGACTACTTTTACACTTGGCATGGAGAAGGTGTCTCTTAAGTGATATTAAGTTATTATAGTACCTTTGGGAATACCACGTAGAATACATGTATAATCACTTAAATGCCTGCCCAGGCGAAAGAAATGCATTATTTTACACGCAACCGTTTCCGGTTTATTCGTTTACAGCGCTTTGCAATTTCCGCCGCTACTACGATTGACTAAATCCTGAATGAAATTAATGAGCAACGACGTACCTCGATTAAGGATCTGTGGACCCGGTTTCTCGAAACCTTCTTAACGCTACGTCGTTCGTAAATTCTATTTAAAATATGTACAGAACTTACGAACGACGTAGCGCTATGGCGGCTTTGAGAAACTCACCTGGTCCGTTAGGCTTACTAACATTACAGTATAAGCAATGCGTTTACGGATAAAAGTTAAAGCACAAACGTAATATTACACAGTAATAACGTATAATAAAAAGATCTGTAAACATAGTATCATAGCAATTCTAGATGTAATTAGGGACCATGCACCTACTTACATTTCACAAAGAATAAATAATTCCATGTATATTTCCTCATTAACGCTTCTAGTTTCTATCATCTTAGCTTTTAAGGCAATGTGTCTACAGTACCTAAACTACGTAAATAGGCTACTTAAACCATGCCCATGTAAATTCCCTAAACGGGGTACACGAATATAATAACTATTATGCCATGTTTCACACAGTATACTGATACTACTGTTGACACTAAATATTACGATCCTTTTGAACGAAGTTTTAATATAATACAAATGATTTTAAATGAAGTTCATTTGGACGCTGCAACCCGTTTCCATGGTCTTTCGCCTGGTTTAGTTTCGTCAAGTGAAATAATATTTAAAGATTCCCCCATAGCTCACCTTTAAAGCCTGTCACGTCTACCGGTGAAAATTATTCAATTTTATTTCCAGGACCTATCTGTCGTGCTGCAGGTTTGTGGAAAATTTCCGTGGTATCAACACTAAATCGCACTGTTTACTGCTCCAATCCTCGGACTTTTTAAACACGCCTTCGGTCCCCGGCGTCACGGAGCTGGCGCAGTTGTCATGGCTCCCGAAATGCGAAAGAAGATTAGTCTGGATACCAGCCTTGTGCTAATCTGGAAACATGGAAAAAACAGTGAAATGCTGCTAACCAGCTAATCTATAGAAAATGCTTTATTAGCTTGTGGTACATGGCCTCATGATCGTACGAAAATTAGAAGAGGCTGGAATTCGATTTGTATTCTCTGCCACGAAAGCTTGTGGGGAGCGTTGCTAATTTTGCTATCTACTTAGCATAGCTAGCTTTCAACTGCAAGAGTGTGAGGGTAAGTAGAATGCTAATCGAGCTAGCTAGCTACCAGTATTTGTTAACATGCATATCTAGACGTTTATATTTTTAGTATATGCTTATGGCTTGGTGGTAGTTAATTTTACCGGACAAAATGGAATCTACGTAGGCTATACATCAGGCGCAACTGCACATGATTCAGTCGAAGTCATTTATCTGAAATATTGACAGCACCTATATTAAAGGATGACATCCTGTTCGGTAAAATTAATTTAATTAATGGTTTGCCATGCACCCAGCATTTAACAGAAATAGTGAATGAAAATGATTATATCCCTGAAAAGTAGCAAGTATAATGTGCGCGTGCCGTCAAACACTGTATCCCATTGGATATTGAAAATTATTGCAATTTCTCGTTTAAAATAAGATGTTCTTAGAAGTTAAATTGTATGTTCTCAGCATCGGCATCACAGATCTTCTTCCCAAACTAATACACAGAAGTATAATTTTAAGTAAAAGTATACCAGTTTATTTAATTTTAATTTATACAAGCATAATTATGGTAATGTTGACGTCTTATAAGACTATTTAAATGCAGAAAATATGCTGATGGAGTTCAACCAAAATATGAATTACATGTTCTTTTAAGAGACTGAAAATATTGGATTCAAAAGTTAAAAAAAAGATACCTAGACATTCATTACCCTGATCCACCATGCACAAATAATATTAAATCTTTATGAGAGAAAGCATGTTAAATGAAACTGGTGTTGCAATATTTCATACCAAAAACAGTTGCTGGGCTCAGAATGCTGATCACAAAGTCAAAGTCCTTTGCAATAGGAAACTGTTGAAAATATTAATGCATTGTCCTTGAGGAACTTCACACCAAAGTATATATATAGTATATGATCTTTATTGAGTAAATGCTTATTTAAAAACAATTATGACAAAGTTTTTTAAAAAGGCTGCAGTACTTCACAATCACAAAGACACAAATTATACACTACAGGCCAGAGGTTTGGGTCCACCTTCACTGCGTCTTCAAAGTTTTATTACAAGAAAATATTAGAAATACTTAAAAGAAATGTAACTGACTGATTTTGAAGTGTAGTGTAACTATTTGCTGTACATTGTATGTGCAATTTAATCAATGCGAGTGCCTTAGTACGAGTTTCATCAAATCTCAAACCCAATGCCTTTATCACATCAGCACATATTTGCAACATCCTTTCTAGCATTTTTGGAAATAACTTGTGTCCAAACCCTCCCAGCACCTTTTCAAACAGTTCTGTCTCATTTGTAGATGCTCACTTTGAACTTGTTGGTCCCACTCATTCCATTGATGGACTTTCGTCCAGTCCTGAATACTCCAGTGTTTGTGTTATTTAGCCTGTGATAATCTCTTTTTCTTGTTAACACCACAAAGTAAAGGTTTTCTGGCAGCAACTCGAACATTTTTCTGTGTAAACAGAAAGAAGTGGGTCACTCCGTGGCTTAGAGACATTTAATTTTCTGGCCATTTGGTGATGAGAACCCTTCTTTACTCAAAATTTCAATTTGAGTCTTCTGTTCAATTGATAGCTGTCCCTTTCTAGCCATTTACCCATCAAAATTCTGACTTAATAGTTGTGATACCGAAGAAGATCCACCAGAAGATTGAAACAAGGAGCATTAACTAGATATTGTTTAGTTTATTAAGACACATTGACACAATCAAGAGAGGCCAAGAGCAAATCCAACACAAAGTGAATGTCAATGTATTAAAGATAGATCTGATATGTCTTCAAAACCAATAGTTTCAGCCTTTGTGGCTAAATAATGTGTTGCTACAATCTTTCATTTTCTGCTTTTTTGTGACCCTCCTTTTTTGCCTTTTCCTTATAAAGAGGAAGAAAACATGTATCACAAGGAGAAAAGCATCCAGATCAAGAGCAGTGCCTCTGCTCTGTACAACAATCTGAGTGTGCTCCGCATTGCCCCCCGCTGCCTCACCTACTTCACCGTGGTACATGCCAATGTGGTGAACATGGTCAGCGCTTCCTGGGATGGCCTCAACTTCTCACATCGCCAGCTGCAGTCTAAGGAGGGCAGCATTGCTGCTAGTTCTTCACTCATCATGCAGGTACTTGGAGCTACAACAATATGTGTGTATCCCCCCCCCCCCTTATCTCTCTAACCACTTATCTAGTACTGCAGCCAACCCAATGGAGTCATCATCCATCACAGGACACACACTTTTAAGAGCAATTTAGATCTGCTAGTTTTCCTAATTGCATATTTTTGAATAACGGAACAAAACTGCAGTATTTGTAAGAAACGCAATATAGAGAGAACATGCACATTTCACAGACACAGAACAGAGGGAGTATTTGAACCCCCAACTGTGGATGTGTGAGGCAACAGTAGTGTGAGCCACTATGCCAACTCTAATGGAAATACTGCTATTAAAATTCAGTTATTTTAACTGCCAGTTAAAATCTGGATTCTTACAAGACCTTGATGCACCACAAAGAAGCAATGTTCAAACACTTTAAACTCTTGCTCCCATGAAAACCTAGAAAATGCTCTGAAGCTGCTCTTTGTTTTGGATTATTTTAATTATAACTCACTTGGAGTTAGAAGGTACATAAATGTCAGATGTTGTGATCTGTTTTTCTGCTGCAGGCATCGTGGTGCGTTCTTCCTTCCCGTGAGCTGCTAGTTCTCACTTCTCAAAAGGGAATCCAGGTGTGTGAGCTGTGGTATGTATTGTGCTGTTAAAGCCATTGCACAGTTAGACAATGGCTATAAGTAACTGATTTATTTGGGTTCCAGATGTATGAGTCAGATGGATCCATCATGGTGTACTGGCATGCCCTAGATACACCTGAGACACCAACAGGTACGTCTTGTAATGTATTGCTGCACACTTTTGTTAAGTGCCTTGGAGGAATTGTGTTGTGTTGTGTTGTGAAAGAACAATACAAAAATAAACATAATTGTTACAATAATCAGTACAGGCAGTCCCCAGCTTAACAAAGAGATTAGTTCCCAAGGTCTATATTTAAGTCAAAATTGTAGGTAAATTGGAAAATCGATACAGTACACGTTACAATTATACAGTAATAAAAATAACTACATATGGTACTGTACTATATGTCGAGCTGAAAAACTGTTGAAACCATGCAATGTTTTCACAAGTGTCACACAGTAGTTTGTGTGTTCCATGTTACAAGCCATTGTATTTTCCCGATTTTTAATTATAATAAGCTTGGCAGCCTGTTTGTAAGTACGAGTTGTCCATAGGTCAGTCTGTCTGGGGACTCCCTGTAGAGTGTCCATAGTGACAGTGTCTTTTTAATGGCAAGATTTTACAATAAAAGACAGAGTATAGACCTTGCATAAATGGCATTAAATTCAGTTGTAGGTGTTAATATTAGTTCTGCACATCCAGCTCAGGCTGTGTTTGCTCGGGGAATCGCTGCTGTACAGGAAAACTTTATCTGTGTCGGTGAGTACATCTATCTTATCAAGAATTATCAGTTGTATTCATCCTGCACTACAAAGTGAATGTGATTTTTTTTTTTGTTTTGCTAAATAAAGTTTTATATAAAGCAAACATCAAAGCCCAAATCTTGCTATGCCATCCAATTCCATCCAATTCAATATGGGACAGACCGTACTCAAACCATCTGCCCTCTCCACGGTCACCTTTCTGCACCATAACTTGCCTCACCCTCTGTCACTTCTCTGGGCAGGAGTATCAACCGGCTTCATACTGGTGTTTGACATTCCCAGCAAAGGGAGCAACATTATGCTGTCAGAAGTGTTGGAGGAGCATAGGGAGTCCATTACAGATATGGCGTCGGAATGTTCCGGAAGTCTGGTATAACCTTCAGCTTTAACTTGGGCTTGTGGGTCAAATGGCGCCAGGATTGTAATACTTTTCAGGGATGCTATAGAACCTCTTCAGTCTTTGGTTTATTACCCTAGAAAATGGACAGTACTTGTTAGATTTAGAACTACTTTAATCCAAGAAGCATACAAAGCTGTTACTGTGCCTGTAAGTACTGTATAGGCAGTAAATATCCTGAAAGTATTTAAATAAACATCTTAGGACCATGACAGCAGTTCTGCGTTTTAAATTTGTTTACTGTGTAAGCACTGTCATTGTATATTGTAATTTTGTTATTACAGTATTTTATTGCAGTTAGTCTTTTACCCATTAATAAACTGACATATTTCACTGGGTAAATTCAGGTTATGCATTGCTTAAGGGTATAATTGGCAAAACCCAGTTGTGAGTTGAGCAAGGTAAGGAGTCCACATTCTTAATGACCATCTTGCTTGCTATTCTATATAACATACCAGATACTATCTGTCTTAGCCGATCACTGTCATTTCAAGCACTGTTCTTCTTTCTCCTCCTATTTCTCAGGAAAGTGTTGCTGACCTGGTCACGGCAGACGACTCAGGCGCGCTCTGTGTGTGGAAGTCTGGAGAAGACTTCCAGTTGCTCAACAAGATCCCCGGTTTTGAGTGAGTGGCCGATAGGGAAATAGAGGAAGCATGTTAGGAATGAAATGACAGCAGAAAATAAGAAGAGAACAATGCAGGTGGATAAGAGCCGGTGGGGGCCGGGGGGGGCTGGGGGGGGGGGTGTGTTGGGGTCGGGTGGGGTCTGCTTTATTTATGCATCAGTGTTTGTTGTTATTACAGTAAGTGTGTGACATTTATGCTCTCATTTTTAGCATTGAGAATGTTGCATTACATTACATTGCATTTATTCTGTCCTGCTACTGGTGTCAGCAGTATAGGACCAAGAGCTACACATCATCTTACAACAAAGCAAGAATATCAATTACATGCATGAAACCCTCCCAATGTGCTGCTTGCCCTGTTGTGTACGTTCCAGGGTCTGCTGTTCTTCGGTGAAGCTGTGGAAAGGCACCGTGGCGGCTGGGTACGGCTCAGGCCAGATCCGCATCTACGAGGCTGTCACTGGGATAGTGCGTGCTGAGGTCAATGCACATGCCCGCTGGATCTACTCCCTCGATATTGCGCCCTTCTCTGGCCTAGTAAGGCATGGCGAGAGGGGGGGGAGACTTGTCACATTATTTTATTCCAGGCTGTCAGAGATTATTCAGTCCTCTGCATACATCCACCACAGTCAAGACTTTTTGTCAGTTTTGAGCATTTGCACCAACATAAAGTGTTTATCTGTGTTATTTTAGATATATACAGACAATTAAACAGCAGCATACCACAGTACACAAAGCCTAAGTACACTCTCCAGAAGTTCTACCGGTTTTTATCTCCTCATGGAATAACAATAAGTCCTTTAACCAGCACTTATTTATGAGTAATTTAATGTTGTTTGTAATGTTATGTTGTAATATTTTAGTGTATGACCCTTCCTCCTTGGTTTTTTCCAAAGCTGCTCTCTGCTGCTGAGGATTCCCTGGTGCAAGTCTGGCACCTGACCGTCATCCCAGAGGCCAACAGTGTGGAGGTGAATCCCAGCTGTACCACCTCCAGCGTTCAGTGTTCTGGGAGCCCCTCAATGCCTTGTTCCTTGTTCTGTGTCCATCACTTTAAGTCTCTCTCTCTCTTTCTCCCCCCTTAGATCCAGCACCTCTACAGCGAGTGTGTCACTGACACCCAGATCTGTGGAGCCAAATTCTGCGACGGGGAAGGACACGCCTTCGCTGTGACTGGCTATGACCTAAGTGAGATCATCCGCTACACGCAAGAATAGGCGTTACACCACTGAGGTCATCTGCAAGAAACAGACACATCCGGCAAGACTGTGCAGTTATTTCCCTATACAATGTCTGGCCAGAGAAAAGGAGTATAAACACCCAGTCTGTCATATGTGTTGGTGTTCCAACTGACAGCTATACACAGGGCAATCAGAGATGGGCTGTTGTAGCCAAATTACCTTGACATTACATGAGAAAATATATTAAAAGAATATAAAAAATATAGATCACAAGTCATGGTGGTTTGATGCTTGATTTTAAAACAGGAAATCTGCCGTCCTGTTTATGTGATAAGCTGCAGGGTGCTCACATGCGCATAAAGCCTCATGTACTGGCTGTAATTTCACAGAGATCCACCATCAGCATTAAAGCATTCTGCAGCGTCCCTGTGGCTAAAAGAAACTTATTTATTACACAGGTGTTTAGAGGATTGTGTAGCTATGTATGCTTGTTTGAATAGGAAATAATTTTTTTATATATATATATATATATATATTTTATATATATAACAATTATTTATATATATATATATATTATATATATATATATATATATATATATATATATATATATATATATATATATATATATATATTATTGGTAATAAGTGTTAGTACATTGTGCATTGTTATGATCACAACCTTACATGTATTTCTCAAAGGTTTGTATTTGTTTAATATGTAAAATTATTTGTATTGTTATGTACATTTGATTTATTTCATTTTGACTCTGTGTTCTATTGTTTTACGAATCAAGTACAGTTTTGTAGAATGAATGTGTCTGCTGGGTGAATACAGTTCTTACGTTTTCCAGCAGGTGGAGCTTCTGCCACCATAATATGAGATTAAGGGTGTCATGTAAAGTTCAGCTGTTTTGGTAGGAATCCATTTTCAGTCATACTTAATTCTAATAGTAAATTTCAGTAAAGTCAGAGAGACAAGTACCATTTATAGAGGTCCGGATTATTTTTATGTGCTGACTGAGAATATAAATATTTATTGTTTGTTAATTGTATCCAGTTTCAGTGTAATAATACTCATAATCATTATTTTGTTGTGAATACTTTAATGCTCACTAATGTAAGAACTGCCCTGCGGAATTCTTAATCTTCTATCTCTGAGTTAGTCCCATCTGCTCCCAGTTCTTTGTTTCTTGTGGATCTTACCCGCGGTATCGGCAGACCTGTCATAATTTATAGATTAGCTGAAAAAGCAGGCTGTTCATTTTGCCATATATGGAAAGGTTACTGGCTTAGAATCACAATATCTTTATGTTACACACTCTTAAGTGCAGTCAATATAAAAAATATAAACCATTGGTTTATTTTTCAGTCATTGTAATACATTTTACAACCACTTCTTTTACTTTTAGGAACTGATCAACCTAGAAATTATGATGTCAAAGAATTACATACACTATATTGCCAAAAGAATTGGGACACCTACCGTTACACTCACATGAACTTTAATGACATCCCATTCTATAACAGCTTCAACTCTTCTGGGAAGGCTGTCCACAAGGTTTAAGTGTGTGTTTCTGGGAATTTTGACCATTCTTCCAGGAGAGCATTTGTGAGGTCAGGCACTGATGTTGGACGAGAAGGCCTGACTCGCAGTCTCCACTCTAATTCACCCCAAAGGTGTTCTGTCAGGTTGAGATCAGGGCTCTGTGCAGGCCAGTCAAGTTCCTCCACATCAGACTCACTCATCCATGTCCTTATGGACCTTGCTTTGTGCACTGGTGTGCAGTCATGTTGGAACAGGAAGTGGCCATCCCCAAATCATTCCCACAAAGTTTGGAGCATGAAATTGTCCAAAATGGCTTTGTATGCTGCAGCATTAAGAGTTCCTTTCACTGGAACTAAGGGGCCAAGCCCAACCCCTGAAAAACAACCCCACACCATAATCCCCCCTCCACCAAACTTTACACTTGGCACAATGCAGTCAGGCAAGTACCATTCTCCTGGCAAGTGCCAAACCCAGACTTGTCCATCAGATTGCCATCGTGATTCGTCACTCCAGAGAACACGTTTCCACTGCTCTAGAGTCCAATGGCAGCATGCTTTACAGCACTGGATTCTACACTTTGCATCGCACTTGGTGATTTAAGGCCTGCATACAGCTGCTCGGCCATGGAAACACATTCCATGAAGTTCTGTACACATTGTTCTTTAGCTAATTTGAAGGCCACATGAAGTTTGGAGGTCTGTAGCTATTTACTCTGCAACTTCAGCACACTGTGCACCTCAGCATGCGTTGTCCCCGCTCTGATTTTACGTGGCCTACCACTTCATGGCTGAGTTGCTGTTGTTTCCAGTTGCTTCCACTTTATTATTATACCACTAACAGTTGACCGTGGTATATTTAGTAGCGAGGAAATTTCACGAAAGGATGCCATCTGTGCAATAAGTCCAGTCAAGGTACCATGCTTGAATTCATTGAGCTCTTGAGAGCGACCCATTCTTTCACAAATGTTTGTAGAAGCAGTTTGCATGTCTAGGTGCTTGATTTTATACATTTGTGGCTGTGGAAGTGATTGGAACACCTGAATTCAATGATTTGGAGGGGTGTCCCAATACTTTTGTACTGAAAACTTATACATTTCCTCTGTCAAAATATATATATTCGCTAAACCAGGTCATAAACCATTCACCGTTCCATCCATCTATCCATCTTGCATACCACCTACCCAGTACAGAGTTGCAGTCACACACCAATCAAATTAGAAACTGACCCACTGGGCGCTTCAAAGTTGAGTGGGCAGAAGCTATAGGCTGTATTCTAAATGATAGCATTGCCTTTATTCCCAAAGTGTTACTCTCACATTTTCTTTTCTTTTAATTTATTTTAGACTGATGTTTCTCAAGGCCTCTTTCATTATTAGAGAAAGAGCTAGCGACAGAGTTTGTTTCCTTGGGACTAACAGTGATGGCCCCATTCAGAAAATCTAGCAGACAGATAAGAGGCATCTTTTATTTATGAGGGAGACAGAAATAGGTCTCTCCCACTTGATTTTGTGAATGAGAGACAGCTTCATCTTTAAAGCAAGTTCCTTAAGAATTTTAATTATTCTTTTTATTGCAAATGATCATAAAAGACAGAATAAAATAAAGTGCCATGAAACCTTCAATACTCAGAGAAAATAAATGCTTATTTTTTGGATTCTGAATGTGGGTTAAGTTCGCTTGGGGGGTGTGACATGCCATTTGAGCATCTTATTCACATAGATATCTTTAATAGTATCACATTAAATAATATTTTTTAAAAATTGGACTTAAACAATTATACAATATATAAGTGGTACCCTTCTTAGTATTGGCCTGTTTCTGTCTATTTTTTATCAGAAATGAAAAATTTTGAATTTAAACTAGTGTAAAGAGTCAGCATGATTATTATCGTAATGGCAGTAACCTAGAATGAGTATAGGATACCTTTTATAAACAAGAAAAACCACAACAGCTAAACTGCGAATAAATGCTATAAACATACAGTATTCATCAATGTACATTCCTAGTTCACCTACATGAAAATGTCAGATGACATTTACATTGCCATTGTGCAATATGAACCTAACCTGAAGTTGGAACCATACTGTACAGATGATTATCAGGGCTATGTCACAGAACAAATTTACGGACATCACACCAGCATTATTTATTGATAAATGATGAATTATTCAGGCTGTTATTTTCATAATGTAATAATGCAAGTGCTTTACTTGCGTATTTATCATTTTTGGACAATGTTCCAGTGAAGGGAACTTTTAATGCTTCAGTAAACCAAGATGTTTTGGACAATTCTATGCTTCCAACTTTGTGGAAACAGTTTGGGGAAGGTTCTTTTCAGTTGCATTTTGACTGTGCCCTAGTGCACAAAGGTTCATAAAGACATGACTTGTGGAAAGCCTTTCCAGAAGAGTGGCGGCTGTTATACTGTAGCTGCAAAGTGTGGACCAACTCCATATTGATGCCTATGGATTTAAAATTGGATGTCATAAACTTTCCTGTAGGTGTAACAGCCAGGTGTCCCAATCCTTTTGTCCACATAGTGTATATTACACAACTATACCCCTTTGTTGCGAGCGAGGATTACTGAGGGACTACATGGTTCAAGTAAACAAAATATTAAGATGAGGATATTTATCATTTTTGGACCACATTGCCTGAATCAAGAAAAATTCTCTATACCACAGTTCTGTTTATTGTTATAACAGCACTAGGAGAAAGGCCTTGACTGAATGAAGAAGGCTATATAGATAGGGTTAAATAAATGAAATGTATAAAGTGTATGATGAATACAGCACAGAGTCTGTCAGTGGGATACACTGTTTTTTCAGACACTGCTTAAACCCAGGGTCAAGGCAAGATAAAGCTCATTTGCATAAAAATTTTGAATGATGCAACTCTGGAAAAACAAAGATCTCTGTGTGAGTGCTCAGCTGTTAAATAAACATGAATGTTCTGCCATCTGCTTTAGAATCACATTGTTGCTTAGCAATTTACATCTATGTCAGAGCTCTGGTGGTCTTGTATGCTCACATTTTTGGTACAAATAGTAACAGGCAAAAAGAGATCAGCCTGAGTATGTGCAAGCGTGGCACCTTTAATGAAAAACAAAGGAAACTAAATTTGGGATTATATGAACAGAAATTGATTCCCATTGACAGAGATCGACATTGTGAGACTGTGTATATGATATATGAAAGAGCTTATTGTATTTTCCTGAAATGTCAGTAATTCAAGATAGGAATAAACTCTCATGAAATTATTATTAAAACATTTTCTTTTCGCATTTGTGAAATATGAAAACACCCGAACACTGCTGAGTGCTGCAAAATATGAACTTTTTTTATAATTTGGTGTGTAATTAATACATCTTACGTATAAATATTTTTTCAAAAGTAGAAATAAAGTTTTAGTCAGGTGTTTTCCAGCCTTATTCAGTGTCGTCCAAAACACCACGTTTACCTGAAATTAAAAAAATGTTGGCGCTCATGGCCACTTAAACATCCTTTAATAATGTTAAAACGAAATGTAGTCTTGCTGTTTCCAATCCTTGTAATCTGAGTTTATCTAAATGTTTGGTGATGTGTGCTTGATGTAAAGTGGTCCCAAAAATAAGCTCCTAATGGCCATTGGGGGAGTGTTGCAGCCTTGATGTTTCATGTTTTAAATCTGTTTAATGCTTAGGTATGTTTTAGTCATTAATGCAGAGGAGTCTGGATGTTACGGGCAGCACCGATGTATTTTGTTTTTGTACTTTTTGTTATATTTACTTTGGTTCACATTGGAAGGGAACAACAGTAGCGGAAAGTCCGTTTAAGGCGAGGGTCATGCGATCGTGGGAAAGGGGTTTTCCGTTAAGACTGTAAGACTGTCGAAAAAAAGTGTCGTGATGTGTAGAGATCGGAACACTGCCGGTGTTGTTCGATTCCAACTGCTGCAAATCAGATAGATGAAAGTGGTGAATAAATCAGTTCCGAAAGAAAGAACCGGAGTCATTTCGCTTCATACCCGTCAAGGGTGTAACAGGAGCAGACGAGGAGAAAATCAGGCCGGGGGACTTCGACATGTGAGCAGCAGGAAAGGAGGAGAGGAGACGCCAGGAGAAAACAAAGCTGCATGGGCTTCGGCCTTCTGCCATTGTTTACTTCGCAGAGAACAAGCAAACGGCACAGCAACATGAGATTTATGCACACCTCGAATGCACTTTTAATTCAGTTCTGTCGTTTTCTTTTCCAGTGAAGATTTGCATGGAAAGAGGAAAGCGTACTTGAACATCACATAACTCAATGCATGGGTTGCACCATCATGCTTAGTCCTCAACTCAGTGTCCTACTTTAGTAGTCAAGATCAATTTAAGGGGTGTTTAAGGGCTCTGATTATAAAGCAATTCAGAGAGACATCTGTACTCCGAGGTAGATAGAATGAAAAATGTAATATTTTTCATATCATATGTCTCAGAATTATTTTGGTAAATAAAAACCTAAATATGTCTATCTTACATAGAAAGACATAAATACAGTATTTATGAAAGTAGAAAACTTAAAATACATTTGGACACATAGCCATGGGCAAAATAAACAATTGTATGTTTCCAGGATTAACTACAAAATATTCAGAAAAGGGCATTCTTTAAAAAGACAGCTAATATTTCTAACATTTGAATCAAATTGCCAGAAGCACAACAACCACACCACTGATTATACATTTAATGCTTAATGAAGCAGAAATAAAGGCAAACATTTGCCTGTTTGTTAACAATGCACGCATAAAGATATTGTTGTTGAAACGAAAAAGCATCTTGGAAGCCATCATATTCCAATCAATCTTGGAATGACGAAGGAAATTTTGAAAAGCCTGCATTTCTTCGAACCAGATGGGTTGATTCAGGAGATTTGGAAGGGTATATGTTTGCATATGATGCTAGCACTCGTGCGTCTTCAGGAAGCCAGTCTGGAAAAACTGTGAGGCAACATGCACACAGCTTGCCTCTCACTGCTCTCCCACCCTGTCCAAAGAAGGAAGGAGCGAGAGAAAGAGCCAGAAATCAGTGCCAAAACACACACAGACTGTGCACAGCTATATGACATGGAAACACAAGAGACCCATATCTGACTCACTACCTCTACAATCAGGCAAAGAAACGACAGAGAATACAGATAGCCACCAGCTACCTCACATGACTATTTAAATGATGGATTTTTCTGGAAGTTGTTCAATATAAATGAAATCTATGAAATTGCATCCTGAAAATCCTTTCAGAATTAAGTTTCTTATAACAAAACAATCAAAAAATGAGAATATAACCATACAGTCATGTGACAATCATGGCTTTGCAGGAAGAAATGAGAAAAGGAAAAAAAGCAGAGTCTACAAACATCAAAGATTTCAGTAAAGACCCAAAATAATGATTATTAGTTTAACAGCAGCTACACTATATGGACAAAAGTATTGGGACCAACCTCAGGTGTTTCATTCAGACCCATTGCCATAGCTGTATAAAATCAAGCATCTAACCATGCAGTCAGCTTTACAAACATTTGTGAAGAAATGGGTCTTTCTAAAAAGCTCAGTAAATTCAAGAATGGTACTTCCATAGGCAGTCACTTTTGCAATAGTTTAGTATGTGAAATTTCTTCCCTGCCAGATATTATTGCAAAGTGGAAGTGCTTAGGAACCATAGATCATGTAAGGTAACAGAGAGGGGTCACCGAGAGCTGAGCCGCATAGTGTGTAAAAGTCAGCAATACTCTGTTGACTCAATAACTGCAGAGTTCCAAACTTCCTCTAGCATAAATCTATGCACCAGGAGCTTCATGGAATGAGCAGCTGCATGCAAACCTCACCTCACCAAGTACAATAACAAGTGTCAGATGGACTGGTGTAAAGCACAAACTGAACTCTGGAGCAGTGTAAACGTGCTCTGTGGAGTGATTAATCACGGTTCTCTGTCAGGCAGTCTAATCAATTAGTGTGGGTTTGATGGATGCCAGGAGAACCTTACCTGCCTGACTGCAGTGTGTGAGCTGTAAAGTTTGGTGTAAGAGGTATAATGGTATATAATTGTTTTTCAGGGGCGGGGCTTGGCCCCTTAGTTCCAGTGAGTCCTATGTCCAGATATTGTTTGATATTGGTTTTGTCTCATCAAATCTGATTCCAGTTTTTCATTATGCAACACAGTGCAACTTGGTTATATCCTTATTCCACTGTATTGTAGCCATTATATAATATACCTGCTTTGCATTATTGAGAAAATTGCAGATTTTGTCATGGTGAGTAGAATTCAGTTTTTCTCTTATTCTACAATATGTGAAGTATTGGTTTAAAATACTACTGAATAGCATCCTATAAAGAATATGTCAGTTTGTGAATAAACTAAGGCATTAAAAAATTAAGAATTAACTGCCTGGACTGCGTAGTGAAAATATATAACACAAGCTACATTTCTCAGCAATGTTTTCACATTAAGGCGGTATCCTCTAGGGAAGCGTAACAAACAATGAAACTGAAAAATCTTCCATAAGATCATAGAAGAATCTCAGGGCAGTCACTACACATATTGCTGTTTCCATGGTGACCTCAATGTGCAGCTAGGAAAGTAAGTATGCTGTGAGACAAACCTGGCACCTCGTTTTAATATCTATTAATAGTTCTTGATGGCAGGCGAATGACATCCTTCGAGGTTCGACATTGAGAGATGAGGCTGGAATTTTGTTAATGGGCAGAAGTCAAAACCGGATTTGCTTTGGACCTACTTTACCTCCTGTCTACTCACAATTCTGCTGGGTCAGGCCATCCAGACCATATATATTAGTTGACTCCTTCTGGCTGCAGTTATTTCCTGCATTTCAATTGGTAGAAAGAGGACTTCAACTCAGTTCTTTTTATTGTCATGTGTACAAGTACCAGTACCGTGTACAATGAAATGCTTGCTTGCATGTGCTCCTGCAGACAGTGAACATAGACAACAAGACGATAGACAACAGGACGACAAGTGAATGTAAAGATAAAGTGAATTATAAATAAGTAAATAATAATACCAGAATCCCAGGAATAAATAGAGACAGACACAGAAATATATGTATGGGTAGCAGTGGACACAAGGGGTAGACAGATTTTATCTATATAATTTCTTATAGGCAGTTATATAAAAGGTAGATTCACTGGGGCAGGATTTTTGTGATCATCCATCAGGCTTATTTAGCATGATTGGAGCTGCAGTCATACCTAAAATATATATATATATATAAATTGTACCTGTCGGAAGTATTTTACAATCAGAACAGCATGTTAAGAAAAGATTAGTAATTAAAATAAAATAGGTCACAGTTAGCTGACACAGAAGGTATTTTTGCCTGGTATTCTACTCTATTGTTCAAGATGAATCGGTATTTCTGTGTTGTGACTTTGCCAGAGCAAATTAGAGAATCGACAGGCTTTGTGTTGCAAAGAGACAGCCATTGTCAGAGTGGACAGGGCAGCATTAGATGACAGAGAATGCAGAGTGAAATCAGTCAGGTGGGGATTAACCAGCCCCTTTCACATGCTTATGGAACTGGTCACATGCACTTTGTTTGAATAAGTCTACACAGGCCTTTCTGATGCTACAATCAGCACTTCACCCTAGTGAAGGGCAGCTGGAGCACGGCAGGCATTAATGCTATCAGGATCTCCCATCTCTCTATTGTTCATGCCAGCATCAGTAGTGTACAGTAGGTACAGGTCTAAGTGGAAAACTGCTGGGCAGGACACTCTGGTGTAAATCTGCCTTGTATGCACTCATGACATAAGAACAGTTCAGGCTCATGCAGTATTTCATGTTCTATGTCAGCAGCCTATAAGTGCTTTAAGGTCCTGTGGATTACATGACCAGTGTAAGCGGATATGATACTATTAGTTGTATGCAGTTAAATTAAAGGACAAATGAATATACAGTTATTTACTTAAAGAAGACTTAGAATACGAGATCCACATTAAATCTGATTTATCAGGATTTTGCCATTGCGTCAGTTACGCGAAGTTTCTACAACAGTATCACAAACATCCCAAAATTACAGCAGAGTCAACGAAAGTTCAGAAAGAAACCCTCACCTCCCTTCTCTAAACTAGAAAGCTCTCTGTAATCTGATAGATTTTTTTTTATATATATATATTTGGGTCTCTTAGCTTTCTAATCCATGCCTCAGAGATCAGTTTAGGTATCAAGAGAGAAATGATCAAGAATGACTCCAGGACTCAGGGATCACAGCTTGCGACTAAATTAACACAGATGATAACACCTCGCCTGCTTCGAGGATGATCATCCTCATGGTCACACCCCAACCCAGAGTTACTAAGATCAGGGGGTATTAAAATGTGACCAGTCAGCTTTGCTTGAGGTTCAGCCTTGTGCAGTTTTCTTGACTAAACTGTGTTAGTTAATTAGCTACAAACTTACCTTTAGTGTATCAGTTAGATTTCAGAGCTTCGGTTTCCTTTCTTATTATAGGTTGACATCCATGTGGAAAATGCAAGTGACAATCCTAGATCCAGTTCTACATACATTCTTGGCAATAGTCAGAATGCAATAGCCCCATTTATCATGATCCCACTTGGATCAAATTCACAATCTGCGGAGTGGTGTTGCTGTTCCACATCATCCTGTTCTGTCTGACCACATCCTTGTTACAGTACAACTGCAACTGGCACACCATGAAAAAATGTTAAATTCATACTTTTTTTGCCTGTATAACTTTTACAATATCTACTAATATTGTCCTTGATTCCTTATCCTTACAGTCCAACCACCACTGTTTACTTCAAATGTGTCATTACAAATTAGTTTTCTACTACTCTTAGCACACAAATATTACACTGGTATACAGTGATTTTGGTGCCAACGATGTCTGAACGGTTTTATATTAAGTTTATGGTGCTGATTAAGAATATGACTTCGGTTTTGCCAGATTGGCTCTAGTTTCTGAGATATTTAATAGTTAATCAATTAATGCAACACGTTTCAGAAACATTCAGAATTGCAAGAATATTTTATTTTAGTTCCAACTGGTAAGTAAACAGTCTAACGTCATACAAAAAAGAAATTAAAAATATCTAACAGTAATTAATACAGTATTAATTAGTTATTAATTGTTAGTAATGTCAATGCTTCAAAAAAAAAAAAGTACCGTGGCTGGTTGAAAAAAATGACTTATGTCTACAAAGTATTCAAAAAGTCATCAAACTGGCAACAATGGGTTCTAAAGCCATCGACTCGCATATCAGGGGAGAGAAGCACAAGCGCTTTGTCGAAAGTTGGACAACAATTGTCCCCATTCAGTTGTTTGACAGTCCTGCAAGTACAACCTCTACAGATAGGCCTACACCCGCTTTGGCAGTGTCTCCGGATCCCACAACAAGCAACGTCTTCAGTACATTCTCCTCAACCAACACACTGAAAACAGAAGTGCTATGGGCTTTGCAAACGGTTAGCAGACATCACTCCTGTACGTCCAATGATGACATTCACACTGTGGTGAGCAATTTGCTGGGACACGGTTAGTAATTGTAGGGAGTTGTGCCCTACATACCCATCACAACTCAGTCAAGACTGGTTTTGAAGAGTGGATGGTGGAGAAAGTGCTCAAAGCACTACATTTTCTTTTCCACTCTGCACCAGCCAGAAGAGAGGACTTCACAGCTGCAACATCATCCTCAAGATTCCCTCTACCTTTCTGTGGCCATTGGTGGCTCGAAAATTTGCCAGCTGTCGAACGAGCATTGGAACTCTGGCCCTCTATTGTGAAATATGTGGACCTGGTGAAGTCAAAAAAGGTGAAAATCCCAAGGAAAACTTCTTTTGACTGCATTTGTGAAGCCCGAATGGATCCCCTTCTTCTGGCCAAACTACATTTTTTCATAGAACTACCACGAGCATTTCAACCATTTCTGGCTAAATACCAGACAGGTGTTCCCATGATGCCCTTCCTTTGAAAGGACTTGGCAGATTTGATCTGGGTAAATATTCACCACCACAGTAACAACAGCAATAAATGAACATGCAAACACGCACATGTGAACTTAACTCTAATTTTGTTTTCAGACACTCCTTCAACGCTTCATTCATCATTCATTTCATTACCCAAGACACTGTTACAGAGTCAAAAGACAGACCAAACGCTATTGCATTTGTTATCACACACAAGTCACATTGGGGGAATGCATTATTTTCATGGATGTCCATTATCTCAAAAACTAGAACCAATTCAGCAAAAGTAATGGGATTTTTTAATTCAGCACCCTCAAAATACCCTAAATATATTAAAAAAAAACCTTGAAAAAAAACCCCAAAAAATGAAAGCTTGACAAATATGCCCCCAGTATAATCACACTGGACTTCACAAAGAACATAACAAAAATAAGCTAAATTGCAGGTATTTCTCTAAGCTGGAAAAAAACACCCACGTAATCTATTTTTGGCCCTCTATCATTGATATTTTTGTATATACAATCAATGCCCACTTTATTAGCTACGCCAGTCTACCGAGTTGGATGTTGTTTGTTTAGATTATCGTACCATTTTCTGTAAACCCTGGGTGGTGAAAATCTGAGATGCAGGAACCACCACTGACCCTCTCGCTGACTGTGTATTCAGTTGCAGCCACATGATTTTCTATTTGTAGGAGCAGGCTTTTTAAATTCCAGAAAGTTTGCTTTGGTTCCTCTACTAGGTATCTCACATGATTTGCTGTTTAGAGGACCAGATTGCTTTAATAGGTAGGTGTACTTAATAAATTGGCCACTGAGTGTATATACAATGGGTTCACTCCTTGTCAAATTTGCTGTTGGTCCCAGTTTGTAAATTTTAGGAAGTTTACTAAGGCCCCATTACTTATCTCTTTAGAATGGTACTTTTTTGTCCTGCTACAAACTATTGAGGATTCAGAAAAGAATGATCCCCTTTTCAGTTTGGTACACACATGAAATATAGTATCCAAGTGGAACGCTCTTAAAATGCTTGTGAAAAGAATACAAGCACTAGAAACTAGCTCACTGTCTTTCAATGGGATGTTTCACAAACATTTCCGTCCAAGGAGTGTGGCCAAGCAGCCAGTCATCTAAACAGGTGTGTGAAAGTGGTAGACACTCTTTCCAAGCAAATATCAGAAAAAAATATCTTCCTGTAAGGTTATTTGTTGCAAGCACCATTAATGTGATGCATACAGTATATATTTGCACATTTCTCCAAATAATTTAAACATTTCAGAATTCAGAGATCAAAAGTAGAAGCAGATTTAATGACTAATGATTAACTTCTCATATAAATAAATTTGATAGGATTTGTCAAAAAAAATTCTTATAGCTATAGGGACTAGTAATGTAATACAAATAATTACCAAATAAATGGATATTCAGTTACTTATCACGGAGTAAAGATCTTTAAACCTTTTAACTTAATTAGCTGTAGGATAATATAAAACGGCTATGACATTTAGAATTATTATTGCCTGGTAATTTTACAGCATTTGTTCTGATTCCTTTTGGCATAATTTTCTGTATGTCCCAATTTCCCGGCGAATGCTATGATAAGGTGGCATTATTCAAAAGTAAGAGCATTTTTATCATAGTTATTCTGGCCAGCAAGCTTGAAAGTGATTAATGTAGATAATGAGAATTCCTCATTAAAATTTGATTTGGTGTGGTGAAACACATAAGGGTCTTGAGTACCACAAAACCACCATATATTTATAGTTCTTTTAATTACGGTCTAGCTTTCTTAAAAGTTGTTCATTGTATTATTACTTACCCATGCAGACACTGTGGTATGGTGGCTGTGGCCTCAGACAGCACTGAGGCTTCACAGCCCTTCCCTGTCTTTGTGTAAGCTTGCATGTTTCTCTATGTCTGGGTGGCTTTCCTCCCACAGTCTAAAAATATGAAGCTGTGGTCACCTAGTCTATTAAAATTGCTATGTGTGCCCTGCACTGGACCTACATCTGGTCCAGGACATACTCTCCCATCTGCCTGTTACTTCTGGGTGTCAGGACCTGTACTTTCCATCCCCCAGTATGACCAACAGGGGTCGCTGCTGGTCCTCCTGAATCTTGCTGTTTTCTTCCCAGCTGTGTCCTGTTTGCAATCCTCGATCCGAATGTGGTGAATGTCAACACCTGATTGTATCGGGCCCTCGTTAGTACCTTATATATGAGCTTCCCAGTCCTGTGTTCCCCAGTCCAGTCATTACCGTCAGTCCCCCTGTTGCCTGTGCCCAGAGTTAGTCGACCCATTTTGAGCTCTCGTGTTTCCCTGCTCCTGTTTTGATAATAAACCCCTTTTGTTCTCCTGACACCTGCCCTCGAGTCCTTCATCCTTCATGTCATGACAGAATAACTGGACTCTCCAAATAATCTAGCGACTACACCCCGCAACCCCTTGCGCTCCACATCTCTGCCTGCCTGATCTTCCCTACAACCAGTCTGCTTCCTCAACCCAAGCCTCTAGCCTGCTCACCTCGATGGTTCATGGACAATCTGCTAAATGACCCAATGAGTGACAGTAATCTAATGGAGCCTGAAGATCCTGACGAGTTAGTGGAGCCGCCCGCCATGCAGATTATCCCACCGGTGCCATCCCCGTATGGGATATGGTGCTGGAAGATGAGAGAGGAGGACGCAGGGCCGGGCTGATGCTGCCTTGGGACACCTGATTCTCCACAGCTTGCCATGGTCCTGCCTGCACATACTGTATCTTCTCAGCATGACACTAGAAAGAGTCTCCAAGTTCACTGCTAGTCAGTACAGGATGAATGCTTATTGATGAACAGCAGTGTCATTTTTGTTTACTCATCAGATTTAAATTTTAATTCTGAATTTAAGATATAGAGGTATCATATACCGGTAAGCTCTCTAGCTAATGCAATACCTCTTCTCTTCAAATAGCTTGTTTCCTGTTTTATAAAATAAATGTCATGGCACCATGTATCATATACACAAAAGACTCCATTCTAGTGGCAACAAAATGTCCATAGTACCTCTACTCAAGGTAAGAACTGTAAATGTAGATAAATGTTTAGTCAATACAATTCACCAAATATTTTTCTCTGTAAAGTCGGTGGTTTGTGACATGTCTGTCTGCCTGCTAGGGGGCAGCACCTTTTAGCTTTAATTCTCTTTGGAAGAGGCCTGTCACTTTTTTGGTAGATTTCCATGCTCAAATTTAGCAACTAGGGAACTCAGTGTTGACTTGAAGTGTACCAGTTCTTTATTGGGTACTCTTTTTTTGTAACTTTCGTATTTATATTACAGCTTCTCAATATAGCTTTTAAATATTATTGCTCCATGTTCCTCAAATTCCTTTTCTCATATTCATACAGCTATGTATGTTAAATGCTCTCCCATATTCAAAAATAATATATGATAGCTGCTGCATACCTGCCTTGCTTTTGGTTTCAGCCATTTCATTTTGCCATCAATCGGTTTCAGCCTGTCAGAAACATGGTGCCATTCAACAAAGGTGGAAATATGGCTCCTAAAGTAAAGTGTATAACATTCTGCCTACCTCAGACTATTCTGTTCCACCAATAACCGATTACCACTTAATTTTCATTAGTTTCTTTTACCCGCATAGCGGGGTTGCCAGCTTTGGTCAGCTGGCTGGAGTGAGATTTTCAAGTCAAGACTTGTCTGCACACACATTTACATGCATGTAACAGTCTTATTGGCTTGTAAATAATCTGTAGGGCAATGGTTCCCAAACTTTCTCTGCAGGGCCCCCCTTTTCTAGATAGGAGCATTATTGAGCCCCCCATTTAAACTACACAGGTTCATATTCAAACTTTATTTGAAATACAACTCCCTTTTCTAATTGAGGGAAACAAGTGCAATTACAAAATACAAATGGTGCAATTTCACCACTGTGGGAGAAGAAAGAGCATACTGAAGTTATAAATAAGAAAATGGCTGGAAAATTAACCAGTTCCAGTTCAGTCAGTAGGGTTTACAGACTATGCCAGTGCTTTTGATGTAGTTAATTTTAGGTTTAGAATGGAATAATACACATTTGCCATAAGATTTCTAGTTTGAGTGTGAGAGTCTGAAGGAGTGAGTGTCATGCCAGAGGTGTGAGAGTTGGCAACCTTGCCACAGTGTGTTTAGCCTGTGCTTTAGTAATTGCTCAGGTACCCCTGGTCTTCCTTGTAGACTCAAAAGAGCTCATTGTGATTTCAAGGTTGAGTCAGCTCTTGCCCATCTTCCACCTTTCTTCTGGTCAAATGAGACCTTGTCCAGTCTTTGCTTCTCTGTCTCTTGTGGGTCTCTATTTTTTTTTTTTGTGAAGATTCATTTTCGCTGCATATTAATTTACATAAGTTTAGGGTTCCACTATGGGGTTTGTTTGAGGTGAAGTTAAAGGAATATTGTAATTAATATATTTTTTGGATTACATTATGGATGGATGGATGATGGGTGGAAGTATATCCCTCTTTTATATCGCTAATAAAATGACTTTGATACTTGCATTATTAATTTATTAATCGTAGTATGCAAGACATGTCCTAATATAACCGGATGGGGTCTGGTGCTCTACTTTATGAATGGGTGGGTGTGCTGATTGTTGTGAGTGACGGAGGAATGAGCTGCCGTGTTTCATTGAAGACAGGCTGGCACTGTCGGGCGTAGCAGCCACTAAGAGAGACAACAACCCCAAATGAATCCAGAGTGAGTTCTCCGTATGAAGCTGATGAGATAAAAGATCCATGAATTAGCAGATTAACTAACGATGATGTCTTTCTTAAAATCATTCAAAGCTCACTTCATATTGTATTTCTATTGTCAAAAATGCCAGTGTTTATAGTTTGTATATTGCCAAGGCACAGAGAAAGTACCATATGTTACTTATATGACGCAACGATGTGATCAATAATAAACTGTAAGCAATGCTTTGCTTGTTTTGTTTAGCAAAGAAATGTAACCACACTATATAACATAAACCATGTAATATTCATACCATTAATTCACTCGTAAATTAATAATGATATGTACGACTAACAATTTGTTAAATGTAGCTCATAAAATCAAGTGAAATAATTTAATATGAGTTATATAAAACCACGACAATCGTGCTGTGTTTCTTTTTTAGGCGTGACAGCAACAAAAGGATCGAGGTAAAAACCCACATCAGCATCAAAGTCGCCCACTGCTACAGGCAGTCTGTGTTTATTATAAAAGCTCTGGCATATTTAAAATAGGACAGAGAGCCAGATGGCTATTTTCCCGATCAAAAATCAATAAACCGCCCACCGTGAACGGGAACCGTATTAGGTGAATTGGGTCAGCGTAGTTCGGAGGATTTGAAAAAAAAGACACACTAGAAGAAGAATCGCGAACTATTAAAAGAAGGGTGGAGAGAGTAGTGAAGTATTGCTGCTTCGTATTAGCGTGGAGGACGTGGCGGAGAAACCCGCACAGATTCCTGCAGTAACAGACCATTAAAGGTAAGAATATCCAACTGTATTGCAAATAAAACTGAATATGACTTGGGAATTCATTTTTATGCAAGTGTCAATGCACTTACAAAAGTATCTCCAAACATAGAAACATTTCGTTAATTACTATTGAAAAGAATGGATCCACTTTCTCCTATTGTATATAAATTATAACTAAGATTTGATTGAAGATGGACCACAGATTGAAAAAAAAGTGTTTCGATTTGTATACGATCCGCCCCTATTTTAATAAAAAGTTTTTTTCTTTATTTTCGGAGGCAATCATAAACCCTGTATTTGGCTAAAATATTATATATGTACATACTTTATGTCGAAATTGTTTATGCTACTATAATAAATATTCGTGTTATTATTAAAATGAAAGCCTGTTGTCTCTATAGTCCGAAGGTGGGGTTCGCTGAAGTTTCATTTTGCCGATGTTGTTGTTTTGCTCGGTAGGCTGTGCTAACAGAAACGGAATTTCTTGTGCCGTTTTCCGGTCATGATATCGCTTCGGGAATTTATTTAACACATCGAACTTACTTTGCATGAAAGATAATTTATTTCTGCACGGAACTTTTAACAAAGCCTCGGTCCTGGCCAGTATTTTTTAACCACATTGCATTTAACGGCGTTTGTAGGAATAACTGTGATCAATACATACAGAAAATATAAATATGAACAACAGTGAGACAAATGTGTTCTTTACACCGGATAACGTGTAAATATTTAATATAGCCTATAACATGTTAAATTTATCAAATTTACCAGTAGAGCATGCCATTATTTGAATTTGAATAGTGATAAAAGAGGTACGTGTTACTGTGTTGTCAAGTTCAACCTAGCATCCTAAGTAGCCCATACAATAATCATTTAATAAATCCTTCTGACTAATTTAATAATTAGTGGCGATTTATTGCTTGTACTGCTTTTTCCTGTCTAGACAACATTTTGGACAATAATTATTAATTAATTTCAGTGTTTTCTCAGTATTTTCTTTCTCTCCTGGTATTGAAATTGTTTAGGTCAGACACTAGGATGAGCACAAAGGTAAAGCTTAAATTATGCAAACATTAAGATTTCATTAGATATTGTAACTACCCTCTACTGAAATATAAATGGACTCCTTCTAAAAACCAAAACTTGTGGGATACATTGCCTTAGTACATGTATGACAAAGTTATATACAGATGTTTGTGTATTGACTTCATACGCCTTGTATTCCATATAATAATACTACGTACAGTACAGAGGTCACATGGACTAGCATGATGTGCACTATATCTGTTTCCTCTGTGGGTTTGTGTCTAAAAATGGCACAAAATCTTATTAAGGTTGCAGTATTATATATTTTTTATTTGGCCAAGCTGATCAGTGCCCTGGCTCCTCCCCTATGGCCTAGCTGATCAGTGCCTTAGCTCCTCCCCCCTGGCCTAGCTGATTAGTGCC